TTAACGGTAAATAGTATTTGTACATGCGCTCCCTGCGTCCCTCTTGGAAACACTTCCGTCACTCGCACCTTTGGCAACAAAATCTTCGCCCGCTGACACGCATTACATTTGTCACGTTTCCTGTGCTGGCCTTCGCTCCCACGCATCTGGCGTTTTGAGTGGCCGTCGAGGAAGTTAATCCAGTCAGCTAGAAAATTGGTGTATTACCTAGTTTATCGCCAACAAATACCACAACACATAATAGTTGAAAGTAAACCGTTAGTCAGAGAATGCAAGGAAATCCGAAATGAAAAATGGACATCAACAAACCTTTTTTGGTGAAGAAGTTAAGGAGTTGCGGGTGTATGAAGTCAACTATGTGCCAAGGCAAAGCTAGTGCTTCTAAAGCAATAAAAATATTAGTAAGAATTTCGTGACACATTGTGAATTGTGTATTTGCTTCCTCGCACACGCTACATAACTGCACTACATGAACAAAAATTAATGAATTGTAAGACACATTTTTAGTGGTGTTAATAATTACCGTTATTGTTATTAACTTGCCAGATTATACAACAAAACAGTCAGCACTGCATTGCTGCTTACATGTGAATACGACTGGAATGTGGCCTGTCGGAAAAGCCGGACGAAGTTTGAAAATTAACTCATGTAAAAGAAATAAGTATTACTTTTTTCAATAAAAAGTCAAACCTAATTATTGTTAGTATCTTTAAATTATGTGTTATGTGTTTGCAGCCACTATTTCCTTACCAAATCTGTCATTAACCAGATAGGATTCATAGGATTTTAAACGTGCCTAAATTCCTTTCGACAGCTATTTATGTTTCTAAAATAGAATATCTCAGAAGTGTCGAGAAACTTCTCCCAAGGCAAATTTTGATGTCTTCATATTACAACTCACAATTATTTTGAAAGTGTGTGCCAAAATCTTAGGGCTTATCTCAAAACAGTTATGAAATGTTCAGTCATATCCTTGCGCAGTGCCACCAACAGTCGTAGAGCAATTAACTTCATTTTATTAAATTTTTCCTACAAGGAACGTTAGTGTTTCGGCATTCGCACGCAAAAATTCAAGGTAAGCCGAATCATTTAACTACAACAATCAAAAGATTAACTAACGGCCAGCGTCACCGACATTTTTATTCATATGCTCAATTCGCTATATGTATTTTGATTTGTTCTTTATTTCTTTGTTTGTTTGTACTACTTTCACAATACGAATCTGGGAAAATCCTATGTGAGGAAATGCTTGTTCCTTCTGTGGCTTTGTTCAAGCCATGCCAATAAAAATGGAGCGCCAGCGGGCTGAAATGAAAGCAGGTCAAGGCTTTGAGTCGTACGCGAGACAGGCGCCTTACGCAGCTGGAGATAGGAGTAGTGAGTAAGTGCTTAGCCGAATCGTTGTATTTAGTGCGTGTATATCAGCATTCCTTTCTCCGTGCGTTTGTATGGGAAAAATCACAACTACGAGTTAAATAACAAAATACATGCTAAATCGTATTAGTATATCAATTCTCAAATAGGTTGCCAAAATTTATGGCGAATTTCAAGTCAGAACGTTTATCGAAATTGCCTCCATCTCCTCGCAGTGCTTATTAAAATTAGTCAATTGACCCGTTGATACGTTTTACGCTTGCTGTCGATAAAGTATTTACCCAAATTGCTGCAATTTTCCATTAATTTTCTACAAATTTATGTGCACTTGTACTTACTTCAAAAATGAGTTGAGAAAAGAAAAAGCTCAGCAACTGATTTGAATAAACCAGCTTAATAGTTTAACAGATTTCAGGGAGTGTTCAATAACGGTTGAATCAGGCAGCAGTTGATGCCATGAAGCCATGACACATAATTCAGTCGACTTCTAGCTTTGCATTACTCTTTAATAACCTTAAGTGCGTTACACCCTCGTATTTGCCAATGGAGCCAGCCAAAGCACTTTCATCAAACCACTGTCCTTTAATTTGCTGCAATTATCCGCTGCACCTTTGACAACACCCTCAATCTCAGCAGTAATGCGAACAATTTTTCATCAACACACACATTCTGAATTGTGCATCCGCTTTCCGGTCCCCATTTGGCTGCGAGTATTCTCGGAATATTTGTACAAAATGCAAAGTTTTCAAATATTTGCAATTTGTTGAGGCCACGCGAGCGCAGAAATAATTTCAAAGCTTGTTGCGGCACACCACATGCCACATTCTACCCATGACCTGTGACCTGTGGCTTGCACCCAACGCCTCGCCTCGAGGCACGACATATGCAAATTCTTGGCGGCTGATTGCATTGTTTAAGTAACTCTAAGATACACCCAGATTATTGTCTGCTGACCTATATTTACTTTCGATTGAATAAATGCTTTACAATTTTCCGCCGCACATGTTGCATGCTAGCCAAGCCAAGCGGCCTTAATTGAACGCTTTCACGTTGCTATGATTGCCAATAGTGGTATTAATTCATAAAAAAGTTTTACGGTAGTTGTATTTCAATAAAAATGGAATGTTGTCACACCCGATACATGTGACAACATTTATTTGGCGCCATTTCTTCCTCGATTTTTTTTAAATAAGAAAATTCTCCTTTTTTTGTCTTGCAAGAGTTGGGAGTTAAATTATTCAAATATCTGGAATGGATGGGGTGCCCCTAAGTTCAAACTTGGAATAACTTTGACTGCACAATTGTAATTTTCTGCACTTTTAGTTTAAACCATAGTTTCCGATCTCTTAATATCCTAAAATGTGTTCCCCATATTGCGCCTCACTAAAATGTGTTCCCATTCCATCTTACGATGTTCACACATTGTCAGTTTACGTCTATAAATTTTAAATCGGAAACTGTAAACTTTGAAGCTCGGCGGTGCGCTCTGACATGAGGTCTTTGTAAGTTTATAGAAATGGAGCTTTTATTGATAGGCAACAACTTTTTGGAAAGGTGGTTGTTAAGGCTGAAAGCTATATGGCTTTAAAGCTACATAAAGCTTTATGAAGCTTTTTAATAGAACTATAGGGATTCGCTTCAAATTAAGCTAGTGGTTTTTAAATCAAGCATGCTAAATCAAATTATGAACTATTAATTAGATAACTGTTTAATAGTACTGCACCACAAAATCCTTAAATTTATCTGCGTCAATACAGTGTGACCGTCGAATGAGGATGAAAATATTTCCATATTTATACTTCGTTCCTACAGTTCCAAGAGTGTTTGTATTATTGTAAAACAAGTCGTAAATTCCTCGTAGGCGTTAAATCACAATGAGAAGTGTGGCAGCAGTACATTGCAGTATTGCTTAGTATACCTACAACGCCTTGGAGTTGGGCGTAATGACTACAACGTCGAGCTTGAATTGTTGCAGCATCAGTCACACTATCAACAGATTGACTAGTAGCGAGTGGAGTGCAACATGGGATGTTAGGTCACACTTTGTGTGTGTGAAAGTTATACTCGAACAGAAGCAAACCGAATGCGAGCGAGTAATAATTAGTGCGGAGGTAAAAACAGTGTAAAACCGGAGGCATTTTTTCTGACTAACGCTACGGCCTAGTCGCGTCGTTCAGTTAGCCTCAAATTAACTTGCACTGCCAGAGCTTGAGCTCTGCTGCGATGCGTATCGCAACGACAACTGAAAATGGGGGCGTAGCCTTCCTATCAACATTAATTAATATCTGAACGACAACGTCCTTAAAATGTTAATGCGTGTGTGTGTCTACCATTATATTGAAAAAGTATTAGTAATTTATTTTTGATTGTAATTGAGGAAAGAGGATCCGATAGGGCGTAAACTGAAGTCCGTAGCCTAATAAGCCCTGCGAGACATTTTTTTTTCAGTATAACAATAGCATAACAAGCAACATTGTATGTTAGTCTCGCAGAATAATTAATGAATTAGCGATTGCAATACGCTATACCATTTGGTGTAACCAGATTTCCGGTGTATCTCCAAAAGCTGGAAACCAAGAGTTCATTAATGATCATTCTATATATGTACTATTCAATAGTTGTATACTTTGAGCTAAGCAAGAGAAAATTCGCTTTTTCACAGTTCTCTAAACGAAATAGAAAATGTTTACTTGAGATTACATTACTTATTTACGCAGATTAACTGCAAGCGTAGCTTTAGAACCACATTGGCGGCTTCTCTCATTATGAATCTGATTTAAACTACGAGCGCCATTGCAGAGTCGATGTATATGAATAGGCTATCATCAGATATAACTCTTATTGTTTTCCTGACTTTGTTCTGAATGTTGAACAGCAATAACGTGTGTTGACAAAAATTAAAGACAAATAATAAAAAATGAAGACTTGCATGGAATAGTTATTGCAATAAGTCGTTGGTTACAAAACTTTGACAATTATTGGGGCATCGATTTTGGTACTACTAAATTTAAGGTGGATTTACATATGTAAGCAGACGATTAGGAGTTCGCGCATAATTACTTTCTACGTTTTAATCATAAACATTTTAACTGCAGTTTCGTTGCCTTTTTTCTTCTTCTATATTGTGACATACGTAACTGTGGACTACACAAACAACTTATTGAATCTTACCGATACTGTGGATATGGCAATACTTTTTAAGGCGGTATATTATCACGCTATACCCGAGAAATGGCTTGCATTGGAATACTAAAGGATATCTTCACTCTAGATAGGGTATACTTTCGTGCACTACCAGCGCTTGTGTGAGTCAAATGTATATAGCTTACGGTGACTATGTGGAGAAATAAATCGCAAGTTTTTCTCGTTTCTCTTTTCTAAACTACCATAAATACTTATTGAACCGGCTTTGTACATGAATAGTATTTGAATATGCTGCGCTCGAGCAATGAGGCCTCATTTTAACGGACAATGGGTATTTTACATGCCTTTAATTGATTTAATTGAGTGCCTTGGGGATGAATTGCGACAGCTATCTGCTGCTTCGTGGAGTTGGTAACACAATTGCGGAATGAAAGTAGTCGCTAACCGCATTCAACCAGCAGCACTTCGCTTGATAAATTGAAATGGCAAAAATTATTTCACTTTGCTTGGAGTTCTTGAATTATACCGCTATTTTGGTCGGATTCACCAGACTACGCATTGATTATAACAACCAGAGGATATGCGAATCGTGGATCATTAGTTTCTATGTTGTTGTTGCCAATATTATCACAGTGGTTCTGCTGCCATGTGCTCATGCACTATCCATCAAATATATATCAGTGAATTTCAAAAATAATTTACTCGCCTTCACCGTTTTGCTCAATCTGCTGATTGTTTACACAGGTGTTGTGTTTTCGGTAGTGAGTCGTTACCGCCGTGAGCGCATATATAAGGAGATATCGCAAGATATTTTCAAACTGGACAAAACTTACTTTAATAAACTGACTACGAATGCACGCATCGAAAAACAGGCCGACATGGTAATATTATTCAAAATGGCCACTATGAGCCTTAATCTATTCGTTCCCATTTTTGGTACATTAAATCAAGCGGTACGCGTGGACGTTTATGTATGGATGCTGGCGTTGTACTCAAGTCTCATAGGGACCATTTTGAATGCAGTGTTGTTCTTGTTTTTCTACATGCTCTGGCAGGTGCGAAAGCGCGTGTGGCGCCTGAACTCCCGTTTGAAAGAATTGCTGCACAGTCTGCAAAAGTTGCATAAGAGCGCCGCTGGCCTATTGCCGCCAAACAGTTGCACTCTACAGCAGTTTAGCGCATTGGCAGCGGAGGAGCTGTGCGAAATAACCGGGGTGCATGCGCGACTCACCACGATATTGTTGCGTTTGAACTCGGTATACCGATGGCAAGTCATTGTGGTGTTACTAACATATTTGATAAGTAACATATCGTACGGTTACTATTGGGTGGTCTCGCTAAGTGACCCCATGAACAGGTCGCAGAGTGTTCCGTCCATCATTGGGTCGTTGGTGGCAAGTATGATTGTCTTTATTGACATCAATTTGCTGTACTGGGGCGCGGACGCTACAACGTTCGCCTGCCAATCGACCCGGCAAATACTCCGACGCTTCCAAGTGCTATCATTGATGAGTTCCGCTTTTGAGCGACAGGTAATGGAATTTTTATGCAGTTTTGCCAAAAACAAGCTCATAAAAGTAGACGGCAATATTGAGACTTTAAGTCATTAATTTAAATTTTTTGCATATTTCGAGGATTAGCTTTTCATTCTACATAATTTGAGTTAAACTATATTTGCAGTGCGAAAGTTTGGCCCTACAACTAAAACAGCAAAAAATGAATATCAACATCGCTGGCATGTTTTCACTGAATCGACAGACTTCACTGGCTCTGTGGGCCTTCAGCGCGCGCCACGTAGTCATATTGGTACAATTCGATTATGAAGCGCAAAAGCAGTCCAATGGCTCAAGCGGCGTACTGGAGCATATTAACCATATGCTACGGCTTGGTGATGACTATATGGATGTCTGAACCAAAGTATATTGATTCTACATTCATAACATTCATGTTGAATATGTAGACTTTAGGCATCTGGAATAATATTTAACCAAAAACTGACAAATGATTATATTTATACTCGTATATGTCACATGGTTTTTCTAAACAATAAATTTAAATAAATGTGTTGCTCTCTCTTCCACCTTATATTTATTTGTGCTGTGGTATTAAAGGAATGCCGTCATTCTAAATTAACAGCAGGTCCAAACTAGATGCGCTTAGGTCTCAGAAAAAGTTTCTGTGCCACCGATATTGTATAATTAACATCTCTGTTGATGGCATTTAAAATCGTATCATCTGGAACGCACGTCACCACCTCGGGGGCATACAAGCTGTGGATGTAGGCGATTGCTTTGATATCCAATCTGTGCACGATCGTATCGCTGCGTTTCACCTTTTGGGATGTCATGAGATATATGGAACTTCATGATGACCTATACCAATACATATACATATCCATATACATGTAACGTATAGCATAAACAAACTTGGTGGTGCTCCGTCCACCACCATACTGAACCGTGGAAAAATCGACATGGTTAACTACGAAGTGCTGCGCAAGTACCGACGTCTGCGAAAGACCAACCTGGCTCAGCATGTGTGGCTTTCATCGTACGTCATATGAAACGCCTCATTTATGCCAAGTATATCATAATGAGTATTGCTGAAGTTTGGAGAATATTAATAGATTAATTTTTAATTGGGACACTTAAGGTGGAAAAATGATTTCTACGCAATAGTAACAGAAGCTTTCATTTGTACTTGTGCGGTATACTGATCAAAACCAAGCAGAGATGGATGCACATCATGCAAAGAGTCACCCACAATAGCCTCACTTTGGTTTAGTTCCATATAATTCTCAACAAGGGGAAATATTTATTTTAAGTGAATATGGTGAACTTGTTGTTTATGTAACCCTGTCTCCCTCAGGAAAGTGTAAAATCTCATTTCACTAGCTAATGCAAATTCTTATAAGCGTCCAAAATGTCGACCTTAAAGCTTACGTAGTTCATAGTTAAAAATGGAATTATGAATATGAACTTTTTCAGCTCAAATAAATGAATTTTTTTAGTCTCAGTTACACTTATTTCCTGACTTCAATCAAGCGTCATGTTCCATGGGACTTGTTCTATTGTATAACCTTTGTAAATAAAATTCAAATAAAAATTGTATAATAATGCAAACTCATCCATGAAATCCTCTAAAAAATCACATAAAAAATTGTGCATTCTAAGGGTTGAGCAAAAGGAAAAGCAAACGCAGCCAACTACAACGATCGGCTGGTTGGTGGGTCGATTGTTTTACTCGAAAAACCCTTCCACATGTCATGCAAAATAATCCAAATGCATTTCCGAGCGATAGCTTTTTACAAAGTGCACAATTGCATTATTAAGTATTATAAGATTCCATTTGATAAATGACACGTTCAAACAATCGATGGCAGAGCCGGGCACACACTCACTTTATTGTTCAGTGAACAGCTAGTCGTTGTTTCAACTACCAAGCGCTTGGTTGCGTACGCTGTCATACCCACGGTTATGGCTGGTGCTAAGGTTTTCGTATTTCGTGTGTGGTATTATTACCTGTTGGCCACTGGCTTTTCCTCGCTGTACTTTGACGTTCGTCGTAAGCGTCTGCAATCGCCGCGTTGGCTGCGCTACTACAGTCTCTTCACAAACGCGACTTTACTGCTGCTTCTACCCTTTTACTATGTAAATGGAACGGTGGTCTTAGACACCTTCGAGGAGAAACCGCTGCGTGTGACAATTGGGCGGTTCAATGTTGGGATGCAGAGCTTCGTCATTATCTACACATTCATCATGCGTCACTACCACGATCAGCAATATTATGGAATTGTGCAGCAACTGCAGCATTTGGAACGGATTTATTTTGAAAATTGGCCAGAAGCGCCGAGAGCCAATTATAGCAGGCTTTTCCGTCTCAAACTTTTCGCGCTTTTCTCTCAAAATATTACGCTTGTGTTGGGTTTCGCAAACATACTGGAGAAGCGATCGTTGACTTGGAAAGATTATCTGTTAAATGCGTACTTTTTCATAATATGGAATACTTTGCACACAATTATACTCATCTACTTCCTCACATTGTTGCATATAGTTAGGCGCTATGACGTGTTAAATATTTATTTGCATCGGTGCTTGCGGTGGCTCAGCGCAGCGCCTTCTGCCTCGTCGGTGCGGATAACTCACGTCTGGTTGTGGGAATTGCGGAGGCTATTGCAGGTACACGGGATGCTGCAGGCGATTGTAGCGAAAACGATTAATTTATACCGCTTTCACATTACCGTGATGCTACTGATATTCTTCTTCAGCAATACGGCCACATTTTACATGGCCTTCATCAATTTGCCGAATTGGGCGACCAGGAAAGTATTTGTCGTATTGTCCTTCTCGCTGTTCGCCATTAAATCGTTTGACGTATTTTTAATAAATCACTGCTGCGAAATTTTGGTTGCGCGGCACAGCGAGGCGCTGTGGTTGCTCAAGCGCCACCAGCATCGACTGCACGTGTGTGCTGAGTACGAACAACTGGCAAGTGCAATCAAGATATTGGTTTTACATTTTTGTTTGGGAAGATTTTTATATTGTAATTTTATTTGCAGTGCACAAATTTCACTTTGAATGCGGCGCTGTCGAAATTCAGCATCAATATTTATGGCATGTTCGATATGAACCACCGAGCTACACTCGCAGTCCTACGCAACGCCGTTATGCACGCGCTCATATTAATACAATTCGATCACATAGTGGATCCAGAAAAGCGACTCGCAACTTAAAAATGTGCGAACTTTGTATTTATTGTCGTTTGCAATTTCTTATGTGATTGTATCAAGGTTTTCCACCTCAATTATGGGTGAATCTAGCTTGGTGGAATGTGTCTTTCATATAAGCAAACCCTACATTCAGCAGACGCAGCCGCGAAAATCTCTGTGCCCAGAGGTTGTTCTCAATTCAAATAATTAAACTTTACCTGTTCTCAATACCACATAGGTTTATAATAAACTTGCAATAAAAGTATAGAACTTTATATTTGTGGCTACCTTAAACCACAATGTGCCTTTGGAGGAATTTCTATTTATCTACTCATTTGACGCCCAGGTGCCTTAACGTTCTTTTTCCATAAATACTCACATATAAATGCGAAATTTTACAAGCACTTTATTAAATTGAAGTACATCCAATGCGTCTTGCACCTATAATTATCACAAATTGTTCGCCCCAACAACCGCATAATCGACCATCTGAGTTTTAAACTTGACAAACACTCGCACTACTTTTTATGTTACTTTGCAGTATTTTGTAAAAGCATAAGATGATTGAGAATAACGCCAAATGATTACTTTTTAAAGGAAAAGTGACTACATAAGACCATTAACAATCAAACAGCAATGCAGGTAATATTCACTCTCATTCCAAATTTGCCTCTTGTCTGAACTCTTTATTGGTTTTGTATTTTGCTCGACTACCGACTGTGCTTAAAATGGTAAGACCTATTTTAGCGATGAATATATTTAAGTAAAGGTCACGTGTGTGACTAGGTTTCAATATATACGTAAATACGACGTATACTAAAGTAAATCACCAAGCCTTTGCGAATGCCGATTATAAAGAAATTTCGTTAATATGCTACTCGGAAATCCCTTAACAGTGTTTTATAACGTTCATCTGTTGCTGCAATATCATATTTTTTGCTGGGTTATCCATGCAGAACTCCGGTCGGAAAGATTCAAATTTAATTACCACAAATTGAGAATATTGGCGATGAAGACCGTTAAGTAATACTCCAATTCGCCTCATATTATTCATTTGCTTTATGCTGTATTCCGCTTCCCCTACAATAAAGAAATAAACAACAAAATTGCATATAACATTGCTGACTGCACTTCATTCCGAGTCTATGCGGTGACTGGCCTTAATAAGTCCATAGAGTGAAGGTATAAACACCGCACTCCAGTAAAAATTACGATAGACTGCAACGTCAACTGCACTTCAACGAACGGTGAACAGGTTTTAGATTAATTATATTTATTTTATGATAAATCATGATGCTGATGATGTGATAATGCGCTCATTTGCAGGAATATTACATAATTTCGACTGCAGTACATTTGGTGGTATTTAACGGAGCACTTGGAATGCGGACCGCTAAGCGCACAAAGCTTCGTAAGTTAATTTTGAGTTATGTGAATATTGCCGCAGTATTCCTTGGCATCGCGAGTTTCAGGCTGAATTTTAAAAAGCAATGTTTAGATCAGCCACTTTATCTTCGCTTTTATGCTGTTTTTGTGAATATGGCGACACTTCTGCTCATGCCGGTAGTCTACATCCAGCAGGCGACCACAATGCAAACTGGTGCCGAGTACAGTCTGCCCAACTTCACAGATTCTGTAAGTATTATCATCACATTTACAGCGGCGGCTACTTCAATATTACTGCGTTGGAAGCATGAGGCTCAATATGTTCGCATAGCTGAAGCGATTTTCCAACTCGACAAGGACTACTACGACAAGTTGCGTATCGATAATGACAAAGACCGGCAGTCAGACTATTTTCTCTACTTCAAGACGCTGACTTTTTCGCTCCACGCAATCGCGACTTTCTATGGCGCCATTCAGTTCTCGCGCAACGACAGCTGGAGCGGTCTGCTCGTGGCTATATACTATGGTTACGTGTACAACTTGCTCTATGGCTCGCTCTTTATCTATTTCTGCTTCATGTGGCTTCTGCGGAGACGGTTCTCGTTGCTCAATGCCAAGCTGAAACATTTGCTGCACGCACTGCAGCAGGCGCAAGGGGTCAATGAGGGCGTATTGGAAATACAACAGTCGTACGTATTTGGTGTCAAAGAATTGTCGGAGATCTCTAAAATACATACACGGCTGAGCAAGCTATCTGCGTGTCTCACCGCTGGCTTCAAGGTGCAAATTTTGGTGGGGCTTCTAAGCCAACTGATAAATGGCATCACTTTTAGTTATTATGCTTTTTTATTGAACAATAAATATCTAAATTTTCACTTCGATGTGTCCACTTCGATTTTGAGTAGCATATGTACTTGGGTGCTGTTTATAGATGGGACTTTGTTGTACTGGTTGGCGGAGGCAACAGCAAATGCACATCGCACTACATCGCAATTGCTGAGACGATTTGAAACATTACCCCTCTCATATGAAGACTTTGGACGGCAGGTGCGGCTTGGAGCCCCTATTAAGAAAGTACATTTTAGCTGAATATTTTCTCTTCTTACAGTGCGAGCTCTTCGCCATGCAATTGAAACTCAAAAACGAAAATATCAACATCGCTGGTATGTTTTCACTTAGACTACAGACTTCGCTCGCAATGTTGGAATATACTCTCAGGCATATTCTCCTTATGATGCAATTCGATTACCAGTTTCGTATGCTGAACACAAATGAAAGTACTGTGTTGGATAGATTTAGTAGACTGCTAAGTTTGAAGTACTTTGAGCATAAATAATTTATAATCACGAAAAATGTAATATTATTACGTCCTTAGATGTGGAGCCTTTCAATAATTACTTTTTATTATGTGAGCTAGGACTTTGATTCATGCTATAACTTTAGAAAAAGAGTTGCCATAAAAACCAACTATATTCCTTTACCTTCCATTTTCTTACAGATGTGTTTTTACCCATTGTTCTTATAACTTTTTATAACTTACTGAGGGAGATATCTCCCTTTCTTAAATAAAAAATTAATTTCTTCTAAATTTAGAAATCGATTTATATTTATTTATCCCGGAAACTTATAATTAATTAAGTGACAGAAAAAAATTTTAAAACTCTCTTATTTTTCATCATCGTTGACACGAAATAAATTATCTAATTTGTTCAAGACTGCATTGTCCGTCGATGGTTTTAACCGCAAACTAACATCGAATTGTACCAATACAATTATCTGAGTCAACGAATAGGCCCATAACGCCAGCGCTCTTTGACGATTCAATTGAAACATTCCAGCTAGTTTGTTGTCCATCTGCTGACGCTTCAGCTGCATTACGAAGAGCTCGCACTAAAAACATACACAGTCAATTTTATTTTCAAAATAACTGCTCGTACTCACCTGTTGCTCGAATTCGTCGCCTAGAAAAGGTAACAACTGAAACCTTCGCATTATTTCCGACATTTGATGCTGTGCATCTATAATCATATCCGAAATCCAGTAAATCAAATTCAGATCAACGAACAATATGGCCGCATATGAAAGGAACAATAAAGTGCCCACATCAAACTCCCAGTCCATCGAGCCACTCAACCCTAAAGTCAAATAGTACCCAAAGGAAATGCACTCAATCACATTCTTCAGCAACACAGCCAAAATCTGCACTTTGTAATCCCTGTTTAGGTGCGACAGCAGCCGATTTAGCAGCGCATGTATTTGTGATATTTTGAGCAAAATGACGGTAGCTTCTACAACTGAACACTGCTGCTGCGTGGAGCTGAAGCCGCCACAGCGCTCACTGCCAATTGGCATCTGCTGCAGCCGCCGCAACAATTCGAGCACGGTCAAGTTAAGCAAACAGAAGCGTTTCCGCAGCAGCCAGATCCAGTGGTAGTACATGAAGAGCGCCATCGCCAGTATGCTTTGCGAGTAAGCATAGTAGAAGGTTTGCAGAAACTCAGGAACATTCACCGTATCGTTGACTGTAAGCCAATCGTAAAAAGGGACTACGGTCTGCAGGCATAGTGCAAACATTTTAAAGTAGAGGAGATGATCTGAACGATGTGCCACCGACCTTTGGCCAGCACGCATATTCTGAAAGTGGCGTCTATCAAGTGCAATAACGGTTTCGGCCAATTTCAAATGTATGCCCTCTCTTTGGCCACGCAAGAGCACCGACAGTGCCGCAGCTCCGAAACTAATGAGCATATTTACCGATTCCGTGAGGAAAACCAAATCTCGGTCGAATTGTGAAGAAGTATACATAGCCTCATAAATGTAGAAAACCGGCAAGGCCAACAAGTAGGCAATATTTGCGCAAATCACATAGCGCGCAACAAGCCGAGATTGGAACACGCGTTGTGCTTTGAAATCGATGCGAAACCGTGTGAGGCCCAAGAATATCGCGAGTATGTTGAAATATCCAATGATGCGTAGAAGAAGCAGCGAGCACTGTATTTCATACATTACTACAATATTACCCGATGACTGGGCTTGTTCTGTGGCCACGCAAGTGTGATTGCCGTTTAACTGCTGTCGTGTCTGCACAAATAGTCTGGCAGTTGAAATTTTAAGTATTGCTTTCCATTCATATTTAACAGAGGTGTTGGAGGGGAATGCACGTTAACACACAACGGCGTGTCGGCGCAGCAATTCAAGTCCATTCGGGTGAACGTTGTGTTGTGAAACATACTTATAATTAAAGTGGATAACGAGTTTGTGTTTAAATATTATCATACTGTGCAATTAAATTGACGTTCATCGGTGATTATTAATATGTATTGCTATGGATATCGTGGCATTCCATAAGCAGCCAATCGGTCGGTCCTTTTGTTCGCATTGCATGAAGCATTCGCGAATGGCTTGCAAACGTCGGCAAATAATAACAACTTTTCGCATTCGAAATTTGACGCGTAATGCGATTTGCTCTACTGAATGTGAAACGAATTGCACTGCGATTTCATCGGCCGATTGCAAATATTGTGAAATAAGGCGCACAGGGAATGAGTGATCGCCGGCTCTGATAATCCTTGTTGAGGTTATAATTGTGTTGCGTACGAAGAGCCAATTAATCAACATTAATGCGTGACAAAAATAATAGCTATAGCAATCTAGAGAGCGCATGGCAATCAGACGATGTGATAGTTCGATTATTTCATATATGTGTGAGGGTGTTGATGTACGATTAAGCTTAATAATTCCATTCACAATTGAATACCTGCGCAGTTTCCGTTCACTTTTTATTCGCGTAATATTAAAGTTATGTTTACTGTGTTTTAATGCTGCTCTGGAAAATTAATTTTTGTTGCTGTGGAATTCAGCAACAGATTCTCGCTTATTGAATCGTATCAGTACCCCTACGTTATTCTAGGCACATTGTGGACCGGGTCTACTAAGTCAGGTAGTTAGACCCACCGACACCGTTGCTGTTACTATAAAGAGTTTGTTACCACGCTCCGCCCTAATGTCAATATTTTCGCTGGTGCAAGTGACTAATTAACACGAAAGAACGACAAAATGGAAGCAGTGTAGTAAAAACAGAAACAGAGGAAGCACTTGAAATTGCGCACTTCATGAAGTGTATAAATTCTGGCCGACAATAAAAATGCAATTCCGTTATGGTAATTCGCGTCGCAACAAGATTTTGTTGAAACAAATATTAAGCTATTTGTGAGAAAGCTGGTAAGATATGTATAGCGCTCGCAAGTGCGAGTGCAAAGCCAGACTTACGAAGCCTGTAAAAGTGGTAATGTCATCGATTTTCCAATTCTTTCGTTTGGTGCCGGCATGTTCATAGTGCATTAAATGATCGCCGTTTCGATATGCCGTTTCAACTTTCGCTCAAGCACTCAAAAAGTGAGCAAAAATAATTATTGTTTTGCAAATTTTGTGAATTTGGTGGAAATGTTGAAATTCTAATGGCCAAACTAACTAAATAGTTGTTGCTTGAATATATTAAGCTGTATATTCATGCATTTTTAAATAATATTGACAACTCAGGACTCAGTAACGCCACACGTCTTCAATGAGAACTCATAAATTTCATACTATTGCTCGTTATTTTATTATCATACAAATTTATTGTTCTGCACATTACCTTATCCCCAACTACAAACCTATTTTACGCGTTCCTCTTAGCTTATTGTTTGTGCGCCCACATTTGCCCGCCTTTTTTGTCATATTCACGGCGTGACAGAATTGAAATTCAATCGCCACTGGAGGCATCCGGTAGAGCAAAAGCAAACAGCAGGACAAACACGCAACGGGTCCAACGCTCCCCATCAAACACAGCTTGAGATTTGTCAAATGATTTTTAAAACGGAAGTGTTGACGGCACTTAAAGCGATAGCGGGAAATAAATTGCATAGGCACGAACGAATAAAAGTCATCTACAATTTAAATCGTTTATTTCGCACTACCTCACACATTTTTATGCCTCTCGCCATCAATGTCAGGAACACACAAACACGCATACGAAACATTCTATATTTTAGAGAAAATATTAATTTAAATATAAAAACTTTAAATTTGTTTTTCATATGAAATGACAAATTTGTATTCGCTTCGGGCTCCAGTTAAATTAAATCCAAATGATCAAATACTAAATATTATTTCAAACATATGAAAATCATATTTGGAATTTATAGCATAAAGTTCGAAACCGCACATAAACGACATGGAATTTGTGGACCTTACATTTGGTCATTGCGAACGTATAAAATACCGCAGCATGGTCTATGGGCTAACTAAATGAATACACATAATCTTATTTACGAGTAAGAGCATAGTTAACAGTGAACAGCATTTGAATACTCGACTCTTTTTGTTAATTAACCAACTTTTTGATAACTCTCTGCTCGTGAAATGCCGTAAAGGTAGCTTGGAAAGTTTTTCAATTTATCGCAATTATTTTATTTTTTATTTTTGACTTTATTTCACTTTCATTGCAATCAGTAGAGGCAGAAGCCACAGAAGTCTTCGCCATGTGTTAAAAACTTTTTAATTTGCCACAGAACAAATTGAGCTCATGTGTATATGCCTACACTGTTAAGTATGTCTTTGCTTATAAGGGGCAACTTTGACAAACAACTGAAGTCATCCAAACTTAGCTTTTAAACTCACAATTGAGCAACTATTTTAACTCGTGTTGTTGACTTCTAAAATTATTAAATGAAAGTCACAAAATTGGTACCCCCCCAGAGGAGAAGAAAAGAGAAGAGTCACTTTTAACAATTGGCAAATAATGGTATCGCGACGCTTGTCCTTGAATTTACCTTGTTTCAGTACATTGAAAGGTTGGGAAAGAGGCTTAAATATTTGAGAAAACATCACACAAAAGGTTACTTGGCTGTTTTAAAATTTTAAAATTCGCACGACAATTTGCACTTTGTGATTACTTGGTCAACTTCCATTATCTGAATTACTCTTGGTGTCGCCGCCAAACGCAAGAAACCAAATATAATGTGAATTACTTGAGACTTGCATACTCCTAGCGATACACAGTGGTGGAGGCGCAACTCAAACACCTCTACCAGAATTTTTATATGTGGTAGTAAATATAATATATGTAATCCGGTGTGAGCACAAAGTTTCTTCCAATATTCCACTAATATGGCAGCGTTTTTTTATAGTCCCCCAGCAGCTCATAAAACTCCTCATCCATCCAGATTTGTTTGTCCTCTGCGTCCAACAACGACCAAGCGTGCTAAGCATAGACTGCTCACACTACACATATGTGCTCACGCGCCACATATACGCGCACGCACTTAGATCGCATACAAAACTAGCGAAAAGTCAAGAAAAGACACTCGTTCAACTCGAAATAATTTTGTTAGTGAAACTTTCATATGGCATCTGCGTTACCCAGCTCTCGCTCCCTTGATGTTAACGAAGTCTCTCACACTACCAATGCTAGGTATATGTGGTTGTATGACTCCATAAAATCAGCCTTAACTTGGACTCTTGTTACGCTCCAGATCATAAACTCAACTGCCATAAATCAAGGCTCAGCACGTGCCAACTAACCTGTGTACCCATACTGATACTCACACCTACACGCATTTATACACACTATTGAAAGTTGTGAAAAGCTTTGATGTCCGAAGAGAAGTGTTTTGCCAAAAGAAAAGGGGATAAAGTTTGTTTTCATATTTCATCAAAAAATATTTATTACAATAAACATTGAACATTTAAAGATGAACTTATAAAATTTAGGATACATTTGCCACAGTTTATACTTGATCCGCTTCGCAAATTGCCACAATCACGTAAAGCCAAGGCAAACAAATAAAATTCGATTCCATTGGTGTGTATATTTTAGCATTGCTTGCACTTGCTGTTGTCTTTTGTGAATTTTATTGAAAAATATGTAGCGAAGTTTGTACAATAGCAATTCAGACGCAATTAAAATGTTACTCATACGCCTGGTCAAACAACAATCATTAACTGCCGCATACCAAACACTGCAAACACATTCTTTAATATTTTTCTGCAAGGAAAAAATATATCTTTTACAATTACACAAAATGTAGATGCAAAGCTCATGCAAAAAATTTGAGGTTCGGTTGAACGTCAATTCCTAACAAACAGAGGCCTATCGGTCGCCTATTTTGCTTTTCATACTTGTTTCACCTATGTTTTTTGCCAAACAGGAAATAACCGCTGCTTTCTCTTCGCTTAAAGAATTTATTGAAATATGCTCTAAAGGAAACTACCGAACTCTTGCGCTCAAATGCATTTACCGAGTGAATACGCATCAGTGATTTTTATTGCCAAAATTTCGCATAAATATTCGTATACAAAGCCATGTTTCTACCCACTGAAATACACATACATTTGTAAGCACACACACAATTGTACATGCGTGAATTACGAAGGTAACGAAGCGAATTCAAGTTGAATGTGTTCCTTTGCTGTAAAACCTGGGTGAGTGAGTCTATGAGCCCATTATTGTATGTGTGGCTTAGCAGCACTCTAGCTAGTGTGATTTTACTGCTGCTCAAATAATTTACGAAATTCCAATGTAACATTTGAAACCAACTACCACATAAACAATTTCATAATTTTCACAAAATGCCACTCGGTTTATGTAATTTAATTCAGTGGCAGTATAAAAATATGATTAGAGAATTCTTTAAGTAGATCAGCTAATGGATTTCAGGTTACTTATATGCCTTGCAGATTCAAAAAGTGCAAACAAAAAATGCATGCCTACAGGGTTCTGTATAAATGTATAAAAAATTAAAGACTTAAAGCACAAAGGTGAAAAACATACGCATTTATTTCAACACAACTGTAAAGAGCATGTATCGTGTTTTCCAATAGGGTTATATGATTTCTTAGTGTCGTTTCGGCCATTTTTAACATGGCAATATCTGTAATTTTTTTCTTTGTATTCAGTAATGTTTACAATTTCTTCATGAAAAGATATACGCAAGAAAACCGTTTACAAATTATTCAATTTTATTATCGAAGTAATCGCTCTCCAATTGCAACTTTTCGTGCGCTTTTGCCATTTTATGGTCGTAATAATCGTCCACCTATGCTCACTATTCGTCGCACTGTTGAAAATTATAAGTTCCAATAAGACAAAGAACCGCTGGACGTATTGGAAATATTGCTGTCATTCAGGCAAGTGTTGTTGAAGACCACAATTGATCGATTACAAGCCGTTATCAAGAATTGGGACTGTCTCAAACCGCAACTCACTTAAGAACTGAAGCCATAGTTTTATTAAAAAAATCTTCTTCTTCGATAAAGCTCACTTTCATCTGAGTGGGGCGGTAAATAAAAAAAGTTCAAAAGTTGAAAGTGCTATTCAAGATATACGACTTCATTTAGTAGAAAAATTACTTCTCGAATTCAATCTTGCAAAAGAAGTCGTGGGTGCCACTTGAATGATGTTATGTTCAGAAGTTAATTGTATCGATTGTACTTCACATTAATTAAAAAACATTTGAATTTCCTTAACAATTAGTGTGTGTTTGTTTTAAATAAAATCATTTCACTCTTATTGGAAAACCCTGCAAATATCTAGTCTAATGTATATTACCAAAGTAGCTAAACAAGTAATGGAAACATTTTGCGACTGACTATTAAATACTGCTTGCGTTTTTTGTATCGTCTGTTCCTCTGTTATCATCGAGCAAATCAAAACTACTATTTTTGGACTACAAATACTGATTTGTGTTCTTTACTTTTAATGCGTATCTAATTTTGGAATCTTATTTTAGACAAGCATGACTATTATGATGGTTTGTTGTCATTAAGTGACATGATGGAACTTCATAGAAACTTAGATACAAACAAATATTCCACACTTTGAACCATAATTCCAAATGGTTATTTAAATGAAGTAGCAAAAGTTTTTTGAACTTACAAAAAAAGTTTATATTTTTATGGTTAAAACAATCTTTTTCGCTAAATTTATTCCTGCACGCGCACAGCGGCTTACCGACTATGCTGGGCCCCAATTTCGCCACTCAATCAAAAGCATGTGTGTGTGTGTGCGTTCGAGCAGACATGTCATATTTAAGCAAAACTTAACTGTCGCAACCGAAGTTCTCTGCCTGCCTTTCTCTCACGCACCATCTCAGCCGCCAGTTCCTTTTACAGCGAAGTAAGGTTTTCGCACATTAAACACGTTTCTGTAGTAAAAGAAAAAATGACAAAAACAACTATTAAAGAGAAATCGAGAGGAAGCAAATGACAAATAAATTATGGGAAAAGTAATTTGACCGCCGGTCCATTCATCACTTTCTGATGAACAAAACTGTCATTTTACTTATTTTATACTGATGAAGCTTTGAGTGCGGGCGATGGCGCGCATAGAGGCAACTTAAATGTCGAGCCTCCTTAAAGAGGTAATCGTCTGCATGAAATTATGCTTTCTTGTTTTTCAGGATTGGCTGACAGACCCAAGTTTACCCGAAAAGTTAATACACTAATACCAGCAGTTATCAGTGCGAAGTCATGAAGTCAAAATCCTAATAAAAATTATCGTTTATGTATTATACATGTAAGTGAACTCATAAAGGAAAGTTGAATGTGGCGGTCTTCCATTAAAATAAGCACACATAACAACTTTAGACGGCGGTCGCACATATCATTTAATTTTTAAGGTTATGCGTATGCAGTTACACTTAATAAGTAGTCTTAACCATGTATACATGTGTGCTCAAGTGTATGCGTTTGTTCACAAAAATTCACGCTTTTGCTGTTTCTCTCATTGACTTGCAAACAAATTTCTCCAACTGCAATCAACTACACTCAGACTTTAGGCATTAAATTTCTTTGCTTTAAGGCTTTGAGGGAAGTCAAAGTAAAATGTTGTTGGTTAGAAGCAAGTGACGAGACAAATCCAGATAATTAATGCGGTTGATGGCAAACGCAAGAGCAAATGAAAATTCAGCAACTGCAAAGCGCAAAGTACGAAGAAAAACATAAAATAGATTAGGAAAATCTAATAGTAGAACGGTTAGGTGTTATAGCGTGCGTACTACTATACCGAAGGAGCGGGTCCGAAAACAGCTTGCAATCGTCATGAAATAAGTTTGCTCTACGGCTCGCCTTTCGGCAAGCACAGCAAGCCGTGTATATTTCTGACTTATTAAGATGTGCATCTTATATTTAGAATTTATCGCACGTTCGGACGCGGCCCCTACATCTTGTTGGTTTACTTCAAGACGCACAACGAAAACAAGATCGGAAGTTCGGCCAAGCATCTGCCGAAAGCATTAACGCCAGTCACACATGCATACAAATACACATACATAAGCACATATTTAATTTAAGATCTAGTCGAAACATTCCAAGACGGATGTTTTTCTTTTTGAAGCGTTGCTGTCTACAACAATACTGTTGGGTAATGTTTTTTTTTAAATAAAATTTAATAATAATATTTTTCTATAGTATCGCTTGTACATGTGTTTAGTTGTATTCGCCAAGGGAAAGACTCAAATAACCAACCAGCATCCTTTGCTGGTGGTAAAAAAATAAAAACCCAAATTTAACTGCTTCACCATGAACTTGATACTATTTCGCCATCTGCATAGCCTGAGGTCAATGTTAAAAATATAATATACCAGTCTTGTTTTCATGAATGAAATGCCAAATCCACAGGTGGTCTTCTTATAAATTCCATACAAAATTTCGTTTGCTTTATGCAAAGAATGAATCGAGATTTGTCTTGATTTTTGTCTTCAGTGGCGCTCTTTTTTGACCAAATGACTGTACATGCGCATTACCTCAGTTCCACAATTCATTCGCTTGCTAGCCGCTTTTTTTGGTGCAGCAGACAATATTCATACAGAGCCTTAGAAGCTGTGCGGCAGTGAAGACATTGCGGCTTGTCAGAAAATACAAACTGCGACCAGAGCGTGTATTTTCGGCGAAAATACGATATTTATGAAATAACGGGATTATCTATCAAAATACTAAATTAAATTTACTTGCATCTCATTGGCTTCTTGCTTGTCGTCTCTTCACTTATCTACTTAGCGGTGGTTAAGTAACACTCTGTCAAAAAACAATTAATTAATTCAACTTTTTATAATAATTTATATTGATATTATTTTTTACCACTGCAACAATGTTTATACCATACATATGTAGAACGAAAAAAGTTTTAGATCTTCTCCATACCCGCCATGAAGAAAAATATGCCAGAAACACTCTAAAAATCCTTTATACAAGCACAATGAACTGAGATAGAATAAATTGTTGACTTTGAAAATGTTGTTATTGGGGGAAAGTTTAGTTGAACTTTTTCACTGCACTAAAAAAAAATTTCTAGTAAAGTCAATTCATTTTGAAAAACAAAAACTCATGGGAAGAAAACGCAGCTCAGCGGAGAAATGCGAGAAACAAATAATGGGCATGAAAACTAAACAGAGAGGTTCTTTGTAACTGCATATTGCTCTTTTAGCATTACGAAAGAAAAACTTTGCCAATTTGCTGCCAAATAGTTTGGAACAAAAATTTTATATTGGCGATTTTTTTCTTAAAAGGATTATGCCCTTGCGCTAAACTAATGCAAGAGACTTAAGTCATAACTTAGCACTGTTATGGGCTGATACCCAAATCTGGACCGCACCTAGCAATTTCTGCGGCAGCTATGGATCACATAGCTGATTCAAAAGTTATTTGCTCCAATAGTTTTAAGAATATTTGTGTTTTTAAACTTTAAAGCAGTGATTTTTAAATTGCATTTATTTAACAGAGTTGCCACTGGCACTATTATAATATTATAATAAGTGTCATGAGAAAAATAAATAACAAACTCGGTTAGAGATTTTTGAATTTTCGCATATTGCGGAAAACCAAACAAACGAAAACAAAAACAAAAACAAATTTTAAATTTCCACTGTACAGCCAGAATCTCTTTTGCCGAAAGGCCTAACAAATGGCTATCACTCACACACAAACACACACATAAGCGCACCCTAGGCCTCTCTAAGTTAATAATTTGAACAAGTGTGTAAGCAAATGCTTAGTTGAACTCAACAAATCGCCAAATATTTCACATCTGGCCTTTTGTGGTCGCCATAGTTGTGCGGAAAATTTGTGAAATTATGCTAAGGAGGAAATTCGTGAACAAATGAGAGCATTAAGGCTGAGTGTACATTTGTGCCAAAGAGAATTTACATCACACATTTTGCATATTTGCGGGTATCTGGTACTTTCATTCTACGCACCGGTTGTTTTGTACACGTGACATTACCACCAAGGCTCATGTATTACGAAATGATACGGTACATGCAGCACACACCATTTCTGTGTGTCCACATTTGGAATTAACATACTTTATATGGAGCTAACGCTTTTGCTTTGAACTTGAAAAACTGCAGCCTTTACGTAAATTCAATTAACGCATAATGCAGAAATGTTTACAATCAATCGCAATTATTGAAATCAACGCAAAAATTGGCTTCAAAAGTAGAAACGAACAGCTCGTTATTATAATAGATGAATTGGATTTTTGAAGCAAGCAACCGCCAGCCCAGCATGTCTAATTTATAGAACCGCCGACAGCGACCGAATATGAAATCTTAAAATACACAGTAGCTAGCGTCCAAGCGCATTTGTGTGCAAGTGTGCTTGTAGCACGCCGACGACTGCCGCAATCGCTTGAAAATGTTGCGGCATTGACAAATCGTTGCCCAGCGCTGCAGAATGAAACCCCAGCAGCTAATCTAAACTACGCAAAAATTGTTTTGAAACCTCTCGATAATCAAAGGCCGCCGGCGAACGGGCACCAGAGTTGCTAAGCAACACACCGCTTCTCAACAACTCATCCCTAAGCCTCCACTCATTCCGGACATTGACAGTCGCACAAATTAGATAACGACCGAGAGGCTGTGCCGGTTATCGGCGCTTGGCTCAGTTGCTGTTGTTAATTGATTGCTTGCTGTGACTGTGTGCAACTGGTAGTATGTGTGTGTGTACAGGTAGCTGCGATGAGGCTTCCTCGATATACTTGCTTTCTTCGGAATATCAATAAATTTTTGGCTTATGGCGCGAAGTGCCGCCGCGACGTAAACAGGTTAAGTGGTAAGGCTGTGAAAACGTATTGCATAATTACTGACATTCGGGTTTCACAGGCATTGTTTAGAAAGTAAATTACATCAATACATCAGAGAAACAATTCAATTAATTTATTTATTATAATTTTGCTCATTTTGACGCTGAGTATTGTGCAAACTGGAAGCTAATTATCTGGAGAGTGTTAATTCAATAGTTTTTGGCATCTAAAACGCTTTCACGAAAATTTCTCTAGTTATGTAACTGTTTTGTACTGACTGCCGAAGTCATTAAAGTGCAAATTAGCTGCCTTTAATATTTCCTTAAATGAATAGCATTCCAACAGATTATTAAAATCATTACATAATTACAAAATTATAAAAAAAATCAATTAAATGCACCGCTTTTTAAAGAAGTGAATCAAGCGTTTACTTTTCCAAACTTATAATGTGTTTATCTAAAATATTTTTTCGACAATTTTTGGCGAATTTGTAGTTACAAATTGCTTGAACTCGGCAACAAAATACTCGCGACCATTGGGAAATTAAATATTCCTTGTTTGCTTTTTGAGCGATTTCGCACGCCGAATGTTTGTCAGTTGTTGTTAGAAATAAAATATGAAAGCGGAAACATAAAACAGACGCAGTCATTGTTATACCTGCGAGCGCATTGATATGTATTCCATTAGCCAGAGCATGAAAGATTGTTTTTTTCTTAAGATTTTTAGTGAAAATTGCCAACATTTGCGTGATTTTAAGTCGAAATAAATGACGGCCATTTATTAATAGGCAAGCATGCTAAGGCTCTATAACCAAAACGAAATCATCTCATCACTCATCGAAGCGTATATCGCTCATACGCCATGCCGTCAACCACACTCATGCAATACTTTGCTTTAACTGCTCTCTCTTTTCCCAGTAACCAATTTTAGTAGAATTCTTTATACAGCATTGTTTTCTATTTAAGAAGAATGCGTTTAAAACCTTTATCGAAGCTCAGTTGCGTTTCAGACAATAGCCTCGTTAAGCGTAAAAGAAGCACAGAATCCAAATGCGTTGTGACTTCAATCAATCGCTGTGAAAAATGAAAACGGTCGATTCAGAGGCAGTTCATATCATCACCTTTTTTCCTTTCTGCTGACTGCTGCCTGCTGCCTGCCACTCTTTATTCGTAGGAAGCACACATATCCTTTACTGTCACCGTTGTATTCTATAAAATATAATAAAACGGGTCTAAACTCATACACAACTGATTTATTACTGAAAATTTGTACATTTGCTTATCAGCTTTCAAATTCAACAGTACATCGACAGAGCTATGTTGGACTTTCACTACTGAGAAGCAGCTTTATTATGAAGATGGAGACAATAATTTCAGCTTTGCAGCTTTCATTAGATAATAAGTCGATCGTAATTACACATACGGCACCGATAAGTTAATGGAGAATTTATTCAAACTAAATTTGGTTAAAGTCCATGCAACTAATTTACTTCTTGGAAAGCTTAACACGAAAATGTTGCACACTAGTACTCAGATAAGCTTGAGGTCATTCTAAATATTTAGCGACAACAAATTCCTTCGAATTCGCTGTGCACCTGAGAAGCAAATACTATCCATATAAGCACTCTCTCCTAAAAAAAGTTCTGCTTCCCTTACAGAACTAATGATTAATTGAAAAATATAAATAGTTATATGAAAACTTGTGTTACATTACCAAAAAATTAAACTTCATTTTTTTACACTTTTTTATTTATGTCAAACCGACCTGCAGGATATACATAAATCCAATTTATGTCTCAATAGCGCCAGATCTGTGTAAAGTTTTAAAAAGAGCCATCTACTAGGCTTGAACTCAAACAAACAGTTTCATTGATAGATTTTCCTCATATTAACTGGTCGTTCAATAAAGTATTTTTTTCTTACAATCAAGGGTTAAGTGCATGGCTGATTTTTCGATCTAATACTGTTATGTTCTTTTCCAACCCCAGTGCAAACTTCCGTTCTTAAAAGGCAGTAATGACAAGATTATCAATCAAAGATATCAAGGCAACGCAGTTCATCAAAAAAAGTAACTGGCCATTGTGTGAACTAATTGCATTAGGAATATACATTTTTATAAATTACATGCGTTAACGAGCACAATCGGCATACCGCGCGCGTCAGACATGTATCGCATTACCTATTGGCTACTTTATGGTCACTACAGTTACTCGCTCGCTCTGGGCATATTACGTTTCCGTTATGATTTCAACAATCACAAAGCGCACACCACGCCTTTCAACACATATTACAGCATTGTTATGAATGTGCTGACTCTAACAACGTTGCCTTGGATTTACTACACAGCTGTACACACATTTCTGCAAAACGAGCGTGTGGGCCGCCTAGTTCTCTATGTTTTCATCGCGACCAAAACACTGCGTTTACTGGCTGTGGCGCTGGCCATCATCTACAATTGGCAGCGGCGTTACGAGGTCCTGACTGTTATACGGGATATCAACCATTTGCGTTCCGATTACTTCGCACGCTTTCGAGTACCGTCCGAGTGGCAGCGACGCTTCGAGATGAAGATCATAAAAAATATGCTCTCTGGTGTACTCGTCGATGCCTCAGGGCTCATCACAGTGTTTGGTGTATATGAAAATCAGATGAGCGCGTCCTTCATTATAAGCAACGTGTTGTTCTCTCTCATCTCCAATATTCTGTATCTGATTATGAATCAGTACTACTTCGCCATACGAACCGTTATACTATTCGGAAATATGTTAAACCACCAATTGGCCGATATTATTAAATCTGCGAAAACCGTGGCACGACTACGAGATTATCCCGGCAGCCGCACGCAATTCAAAGCGCGCTGTCTCACATTATGCCGCGAGCTGGACGATTTGGCGATGGTGCGTACACAGCTACAGAGCTTGGCCTTACGCATAAATGACATATTGAAATGGCAAGGTCTTGGCGTGTTGATCAATATGTTCATTTTAAATATATCTTTAATATACACCATCTATTCGATGTTGTGGGTCGGCGAGTTCACAATAAGTCAATATGGCTGGGTGTCTGTGTTGATGGGGGTCTCATATGTGGTCTACATTGTGGACATGAAGGATTTTTTGGGTGCGATACTCGAGCACGTCGGTGTATTTCACAAGACTTCTATATATTTGGAACTGCATACAAACCTGCCGCAGTTGGACAAGGTGTTCGAACAAAGCGTGAGTAAAGTGACAAAAAATTAACTGAACGCTAATCTTCTTCTTTTAACTTTTCCATAGGTGGAGAGCTTTCAGCTGCAGCTGTCGCTTAACAAATATCAATTGAGTTTATTAGGTTTATTAAATTTCAACAGCGAATGTGTGTTCTCAATGTTTGCTTCGGTGATTGTAAACTCTATTTTAATGATACAATTTGACTATCAATATTTCCAGTAATCCAACGACTTGGTTTAGTACATCGGTAAGCTGTAACAAGCGAATTTAACCCCTTACAAAGTTATCTAAGACAGTCAAGGTGGAACCCCATAGTCACCAAAAAATGGTACTTTTAAAAAAAAGTTCAGCTAAGTGTGGTTAGTTAGCAAAGAAGACCAGGTTGCGAGAACTAAAGCTTACACTTGCAGCTAAAAGTTTACTATGACACTACAAGAACTTTTATCCCCGCTTACCGAATCTTAATAAATATATGCTCCTTCGAACTATGTGTGTGTATATACTAAATTCTAAACTAATTCGTGTTTATTCGAGCAACAAATGCAATTCACACTTTATTCGTCACTCTGGAAATTGATTTGCAGGAAGGAAATCGAATGCAAGCAGAGAAAAGCCAACGCATTTAAGCGCGCAATTCTCATTGCGTCGATAGGGGGTCACTGTGGTAGGAAGAGAGTAGCGATGACAATGCCAATAAGACTGAGATTTCAGTGCAGTGATGTAAAAATATATACAGCAGATTAAACTCGCTTTCTAAACTGGTGCGGCTGGGCAGATTTCAGCGAAATCTCTGACATTCAAATTATTTTATCGTTGAATAAACTTGTGTGTACTTAGCTATTTCTGCACATAATATGGTTTTAACAGCCTTGACACGTAAGACATATAACCGTGAGCAACAAAGTCTTTAATCTACCGATTAACCGTTAGTGTAAGAGACACTCACATATATTGCATTGAAGCAATTGGCCAAATAGAGGCCACATTCACTAGCAGCTTTACGGAAGCCTCTGTTAATAACTCATTAGTGCTCTGAGGACGCAAAAACGTAGCTTCTGTCACGCACTTTTAAAGTCTTTACATATCGGTAGAATATATAATATAATGCTAAGCTTCAAGATAAACCGATTTCTTTCACAATTGCTTCTGACCAAAAACTTTGAAATCAGGCGTTGCCTGTTGCAAAACAAAAACTAAAGCGGATTAAACGGTGTGGCTTCTAGGAATATGTTTGCTTCCGTCGTTTTCACCTTGTAAACCATAAATAAGTATATGCGGAGGTGTCTTAGTGAGTGCGTTGCTACAAAAAGGCGAGCAAACATACGTACGCTGTATATATATTAAATACAAATACAATTTGAGCGAGCTAAGCTATCTGAAAGCACTTGTTCGACGTCACAAGACACCTGAAGTTACATTTTGCTTTGCTTCCGGTGGGGACGGGTGCAACAAATGCGGGATTAGAAGAAAGCGACAATAAAAAGTCGCAAAATTGGAGCTGTAACAATTTGAGCCCTTTTCCGACACGTCAAACAAGAATAAAAATCAATTATACTTGCAAACTCTTAACATCTCATCAGTGAAATCTTTAACTATTAATTAGCGGAAATGAAATAAATCACATTAGCAAGTGGATAAATATTCAACTAAAAGTGCAAATAATATTGGGCAATTTAAAATTGAAACGAGCGATTATTAATATATTTTTTTTTTACATAGTTTTTAATTTTACTGTTATCTCGAACTTTGCTATTTACCTTGTTCAATTGCTGTCAATTTCAGCAACAAATTCCAGTGAAACAGTTAAATGAAAAATTAAATATGAAAACTTTGGTTTTTATTGCATTTATTTGCTTATCTTCAAGCAGAAACAGCGTTGTATTGCAAAAGCATCTAAATGAGCTGATGGATATTGTAAATCAAATGCGCTTATATATGTGTATATATGTGAATGTGTGTGAACAAATACAATCTGCTAAGTTACTCGTTAGTTAGCTTAATAGCTCTTTAGCTCTCGAATTTACTACTTCCTTAAGGCACAACGACGAGGCTTAAATAACTCGCATTAATTTGTGTTAGAACTGTGCAAGCGTATGAATGAGTATGCTACAATTCTCTACATGTAATATAATCCAACAGGAGTCACGTGAGGCGTTAATGCCGCAGACAGCACATGCCTACCAACTTCTGCGTACTGCATTACATACATACTTATGACTTCGCAACGACAATTTTTTTATGTTCACAGAAGTCACAATATTTTGTGATGAATTCAAAAGCTCTAAAATTTCATTACCAAACAAAAATAGTTATTTTTGGTTTTCCTGTTTTAAATTTCTTTATTTGCGGATACATTTTATAAAATATGCATTTTACACTTTTGATATTGAATTTCACACAGACGTATGTATGTACACATTCCTTAAATAATATGTGTTCTACAAAGGCTTAAAGATCTAATTCGGACGAACACCGAACAGAGCTAGACCAGCGCTCCAATGCTCTTTGTATCAGAATCAATAAAATTTTAGTGGCATCTAAAAGCACGCTGTATTTGCGTATATGCACACCTACATGTACATATATAGTGAAAATACATATATATATATATATATACATATATGAAATGCCGCGACTTAGTAACGCTCCAAGCTATCCAAAGAGTATCTGAAATGCATTTAAGCCTGAAATTAGGAAATAAATTGTAAACATATCTAAGCTATTGTACTATGTGAGTGTGTAGCACATGCTGTGAATTCCAATCGACGCGCAAACGAAAGCTAGTATCCAATTTTACTATCAACAAAACACAATAGCTGCACTTTTGCTTTTTTACTTTTTTACTTTTTTGCGCTTGGATCGTTTGTTTACTGCTGGACAACATTATTTTCCACCAACAACTATGCATGTGAAAAGAGTGCGTGGGTTGCACGGTTTTGAATTAGAAAATTTTCGAAAATATTTACATATGCAACTGATTGCGCTGTGCGTGTGTGCGTGCGTGTGTGCGTCGACTATTTTAGTGCAAAAAGCAGCTCATATACGTAGTTGTGGAGTGAGGAGGAGAAAGCACATAAAAAAATGTAATCAAATCATCTCTGCTCATCCGCAGAGTGAAGAATAATAAAGGAACAATGTAAAATATATTCGCTTGAGGGTCAACGAATTCAAACGGACTGTGCAAACACAGAAAATAACCAGCATTGCTTGGTCAAATGACAATAGATAATCACACGGCTATGTACTGTTAACAGCAACATAACAACAAAACACAATGCATTGGCAGCTCGCGAAGGCCGAAAAAAGAGAAATAGCCAAAATGAAATAAACAGTTTCAACTGTCGAGATAAAAAGCGAATGATAAAATTTGTTTAAGCTGATGATAATCGGTCTATGCTTCTTAAAGCGTAACAACCGCAGCTCTATGAAATTGTGACATCCCCTGTTCTTGAATTTATATGAACTTAGCCTTAGTAAGCCTTCATATCTTACTACGAATTATATGCTTGAAAGCACTGTTTTCTATTTAAATGTGGATATCTATAGAAAACTTAAAGCAACTGCTCTCCTAGTGGGTTATACGAGAAGCTAACACAAGGCCCAACAATGGGAGAGCGATTTTCACTACGTGCCGAGTACTAATGCCATTCGAGAATATATATAGTCCCTGATGTTGGGCGAAACAGGTGAGTGGCAGTTCGCAATCTAACCCTTACACTCTGGGGACACCTCTGCTTAAACAGCAAAAAGAGTTGCCAGTTTTAATCAAACGGGGCACAAACATATGCACAAACTGGATGCCTTAATTTCTTTACGTGGAATTGTCAGAAAATTCTTTTAGGCTCCAAAGTGGGTGTAGAACGAGAGCTCCATTTCATTAATCTTCCGCGTGTTTTGCAATAAATTATGGCAGAATTGCATGTAATCTGATCAGCAACAATGCGCACACTCTGTACTTTATTATACTCAACGTTTTTTTATTATTACTTACAAATAATTCAGCATATGAGAAAAAGGCTTGAGCGTTCGTATGTATTTGTGTCACTTGAGTTTATTTTTTATTAGCTGGAAGCGTACATTTACTTATATACAAACATATGTGTGTGTGCACTCTTTACTCGCTTAAATTACTTACAAACAAAGAAGAATGTGGTATAATGTAGAGGGAATGTTGCCATATCGTCGTAACAAAAACATATTAAACAGTTTGCTTGAATGTATTACCCCAACTATAACACATATGTGTATGTATGTATACCATACATGGATATATGTGTGCAAGTGTGGTCTGTACTTAGCGTATATTTATATATTCATGTGCATAGACTCTCAAGATCTCAAATTCCAGCACCTGATGCATTTTAGCTGTGGTTTGCTATTTTTATGTAAATTTAAATAATTTTGTGCTTACCGCCTAACAATCGTACTCACAAGTACACATTTAGGCAAGCTATCAATTTATACATTCACAGACAGAGAATAAGTAATAACACTTATATACAAATAATCACGCGTATACTCGCGTATACTTATATGGTATATACACTACACACGCAATAACAACAAACTTGATTTAATGTAAAAGGTCTTAACTCTACTTCTATCAATATGTTCACAGTTAGGCAAAGTGCGTAAGTTCCACTAAAGAAATACAAAAATATCATGTTTTTTAAGCGTGGATCAACACGACAAGATATTTGTGTAATATTTTATTTATTTCCATATTCTTATATAATTACTAAACTATTTACTAAACTCTTTATTTTTCGTTTTCTTCATACAATTAAACAATATTTCCATTATACATATTGTATATATTATATATTATACATTAGATTAATATATGTTTATACACTTATGAGCAAAGCTGGGAATATAAATCCGCGAAAATGACATATATTAGGAACATGTATACTTCATAAAAAAGATAAGAATTAATCTTTTTTGAAATGACTATTAAAACGCCATATTCAACTGTTGCTCGTTAGTGTATTTGTAACAAACGAACTGTAGCAGCAGTGTTACTAACAACTATCGCTTTATAATATTAACAAAAATAGTAACAAATGTATAACATTACCGTTAGCATAATACTATTTGGAGGGAACCTCTTAGGAATAAATCATAGTGAAACGAAGCGTCACTGCTTAACTCACAGCTGCATCAAGTGCTCGTCCAAAATATTGAAACGAGATGGTAACACTGTTTGTTTGCCTTTCACTGCTTCACGTCGCTAGAACGCTTCATTAGTATGCATTTAATTGCACTACACAATGTTATTCTTCCCCGTTACAATAACTCTAATAATGTACAACAATAACACTTCACTTAAACGCCATCGCACAGTCGCAAGCCGCTCATTAAACTATCTAAGACCCCATCAAGTGAAACACGTAGATGTGATTGCATTCAGACAGGTGTGTGCGTGCAGATGTGCGTACGTGTTTGTGTGTGCTGTTATGATCACGAGTATCGCGCAGTGCATTACATACTTAAAGAAATTCGTCCGCTTGCAGCATCATGACCACCGTATCTCACCTCTTGTCGTTGGCGGTGCCCACGCCGCTGCCGCCGCCAGCTCCGTTATTCTGCAGGGCTACGCTGTGGTGCAGCTGCATTGAGGCTTGCTTTTGGAAGCATGCGCCGGTGCCGGACCCGCCTTCAGCGCTGCCACCGCCATTGCCGCCGCCCCTATTGTTGTTGATGTGCAGCGATGTGCGGTTGTAGTTGGTGACGGTGGAGCGCCGCATCGACATGATGCTCGTGTCCATCATGCCCGTCGCTGTGGAATGTTGGCGGATGTGCGGCTGTCGTTTAATGCACAAGCAACACAAATAGCGTTTGAAGTGCTGCCGGAAGACGCCGGAGACGCAATACAACGCGACGGGATTGACGCATGAGTGCATAAAACTACGAATAATAGAATGGAATAGTGGCGATCAGAGTAGAAATTTAATTAGTGCAATGATGATAGCTTATGGCTGCTGTGGATGAAAATTACATTTATTTAGACTTCAGCTGCTGAAGGTAAATCTTAGATCTACATCCAGCTCCTAATTATTTTTCTCACGCACATTATCTTTTTCAATAAAAATGGACGAGCAGGGGACGAATACGAATACGATTTCCTTAGCTATCTTAATATGTGCAATAACAGAATTTAATATGTTAAAGAACAGAGATAAATTAAGACAAGTCATCCAAGTGCCGTATCGTCCTCTGAAATACGGTCTAACGAACATGTTAGACATTTTATGGAATAATCCTAAATAATTTTAAATCTGCTACTCATATCTATACTTTAGATTTCATCAACACCTCGTCTTCCACTTTCTCATTGTTGTTATATATTCTATCATATATCCACAAACCCCCAACAGCTATCCTCCCCGCTGCACACCGTTGTTTTTTTTTTCATTGCTTACCTTGCACAGAATCCAATTATGCGAATGGCGTGCCAGAAGTCATCAAAGTCGTCTTCAGCCGTGGGATTTAAGTGGAACCACAACTCGAATAAGTGGTAAGGGAAGAAGCAGACGAAAAATACTACAAAGAATGAGAGATAGAATAAATGGTTCGCCATCAACATTTTTCTTCTTCGAATTTTCAAAAACACTGTATTTATTGTTTTCTCTTTTATTCACTGTTTCTAGTGGCGCTTACGTTGTTCATACAGCCTTTCAACTGTCAACGCCTGCAGACCCGGACTCTTACTAATTATGTTGACAAATCCAACTGACAACGCAATGCAAAAAGTTACGTTGTGTGGCAACACCACTGTGTGCGTGCTCACTTAGCAAAAAAGGGGAGAACTACATTGCATTTACCCAGGAAAAGCTTGCGGCTCTTGGGAATCATTGCCACAACTTCTCTTGACATTTTTACCAAATACTCGCCGCTCTTTGAGGAGATAAAGCGACACTAAATGAACGTTTTTGTTAATAGATTAAAATAATTATTATATTAAAATTTAGATGCACGAAATAAGTGAAGTTCTTTGTTTAAATATATGAAAACGCAATTTTTTCTTTAAGAGAGGAATAATATTGAAGAGAAACCGACCCTCTTTAAATGTACTTGTAGTTGTATACCAAAGTCTGTATTTATGGTGTCATATACATGCACCAATACTTGATAGTAAAACTTTTACATAATGCAAAGCCAACGGGAAATACATTGTCAACACAAAATGCCTCATTCACTCGCTGCCTCCCTTTCACACTTGCCCCCTGAGGCACTTTCGTGTGCAGGCGCAGATTTAATTAAGGATTTCTACAGATGTGTCATCCCACGACTGTCCTCCAAACATTGCACTCAGCATATCAATCTTACACACCATATTTCTAAACTGTTTCCAAACACACACAGCCCCTCGCCCACTGGGCCCACCCATACCAACTTATCTTCATGCTTTTATTGCATTTGTAGAGGGATTGCACATTATTTGATTTAGTTCCTGAGTCAACTTACTCACAACAAAGGCGACCACCATTCGCGCCACGTAACGACGCGCTCGCGCCTGCGACCGGCTTTGCATGCCCAACGCCTCGCCGGGCATTTCGCGTGCACTCGTGTGCAAACGTTTGGCCATGAGAATGTATAGGGCACCGATGATAAAAAGCGGCAGCACATAATAGATAGTCGCCTTGCTGATCACTGCGTATCTGTAAGAGAATAAGAAGAAAAGAAAAGTAAACTAATCGCCATTTACAGTATTAGTATGTTTGAATAAATAATTTGATTGCTGATGACCCGAAATTACTCAAGTGTACCCAGAACAAGCCTACACAAGCTGATATCTTGAAGATTCAACACAAATCCAATTGCATGTCCCAAGGAACCTCGATAGAATGATAAAACACAAAACAGCGGAAAGGGAAATCACACTCTTGCGCACACATGAAATTTGTCAAACACATACTACCGTATTTAAGTTTGTACTTATGTGCTCGACATCTAAGCGGTTTTTTGTTATTTTTTAAACGCCTCTTTTGTACCTATATAGTCATAAAAATGTCAATAAAACCAAATGCGCTTAACAAAGCTCAATGGTAGAGGTGAAACTTAAAGCTTGTAGCTTGTGATTGATATTGTTATTGTATATGCGTACTTTCAGTATACTACAAAGAGAGAGAAAGACCTGAACAGGTGAAAATACAGTGAAATTGCAAAATAAACAAATAAGAAAAATTTTCGTTGGGCATCTACTCTCCAATGAAGTTATTTTAGAACTTATTTTTGATTAAACTCACTTTGAATAAGAATCATAATTGGTGCGGTTACGTCCGAACGGCGAGCAAACGAGAATTGTCAAATTCTCACTATTCTTGCTTGGTGGAATGTGTATCTCTTGAATATCGGAGACAATAAACGACGGCGCCGCCAGCAGAATGGCCACTATCCAGATCATCGAGGCGGTGAAAACGGTCAAAGGCTTTGTCTGCAAGCAGAAAGTGTGTAAATGTAAATAAGAATGAATGTAATGCCATATAAATGTAAAATAAGAATGCGAAACTCAACCCGAACTATTGTATTCATAAGCAGCAGTTGCCAGCAACGCGCAATGGCACTCACCTGCAATTTGCGCAACGGATTCACAATGGCAAAATAGCGTTCGCCAGACAGGGCGGTCAGTGTAAATACCGAAACGCCAATGGAAATATCTTTGAAGGACTCGCTGATGCGACACAAGTCGGCGCCGAATGTCCAACTCTCCTGTGTGTAGACGAAGCAGGCCAATGGCACACAAATGATAATGACCAGCAGATCGGCCAAGGCCAGCGACAGAATATAACTGCAACATATTGTTAAAGTCGGGGGGAGAAGTTGATAAAAGAAAATGTAAATACAAAATTTAAGTTATACAATATTCAATTCAAAGGGCACGACAATAAATTTCAGCAAAAGTAAAACCTTTCGATATAATGCTTTATAGGTATTTATTTATATAATAATTTTTTTTTTTCTAGCTTGACAAATTGAAACTTCGCTTTTATGCAAATTCCCGGGAAACTTTTTTATTTATGTGCTGTGTCCTTTTTGGGTATTTCCCTTTTTCTCGATTTTCAAATGCCTAAACACAAACATCACTCATACGCCCAGTCGAATCCTTTGAAATAAGCGAGCGAAACGTAAATTGCAGACCCAAAAACATCTCTGATGACACTCTCATCTCCAATTATCGTGGTACTTCAGTGTCCTAAATTTCGAACGCGGATAAAGTCTCGAAGTGGATGAGAAGGAAACAAGCACTCTCATATGAACGAATGCGGCACATGCATTGAAGTTCTGAAAGCAGTATAGCGAAGCTTCTCAGCAGCTTATCAACGCATAAATAAAGCTACAGCACTAACAGATTGTCATTCACTAAAATTTCAGCCGCAAACCTCAAACCAAATGAAGTAAGGAAACAGGTATATTGCCAGTGAAGCGAGGCGCATCCCACATCAAAAAGTCACGAAACGAACAAGTAAATCCGCACACATGACTGGTCGCGGGGGCAGGCGTGTATGACGCGATTTCGATAAGCGGCAGGCGCACACATCAAACTGATGAAGCAGGCCAAAAATATCAACAACGAGTCAAGGAACAAAACGGACGCTCTCCACTGAAGTGTAACTGTCTGTTTGAGCTTACCGGTGCGAGTGTAAAACCTGCTGCGGGCGCCAAGTGAGGAAGTGTTTTGCGCATTTTCATTCTGGATCCTTGCCGTCATATACGTGCCACTGAAGCTTAAAACCTTTTTATTTGACTGGTGTGGCTTGGCGCTCAGCACAGCGATATCACACAAAGGAATTGGAGTGGCAAATGTGTAGTTATGAATAAATGCTCGATTGTCAATGCATTAGACGACCATATTCGCATACATAAAATCAACATAACTACGCCTGTATTTGGCATTAAAGCATACCATTGCTCTCACAAATAACTACAGACATTGATCACCGCAATTTATCGAGCTCAACACACAATTTAAAGCAAATGAATAGTTAATATGAGGTCGAGAGTGAATTGGGTTATTTTTAGCAGGAATAGCAAATGTTTATCTCTGCAATTTTAACCTTCGAAGGAGTAAAGAGCACTACCCACATCAGGTGCTCACAGCAATTCGAGCTTCGCTTGTATCGAGCTGCCAACAACAGTTATGTAGTTAGGCAACAGTGAGGAATCACAGCTGGCAACTAGCTTCTCATAATGACACCCATAGTATGAACGCAGATGTGAAGATATGCACTCAAATAGCCAAAGGACATACTTGACATTCGATCTACGCTATTTCAAAGCATTAGTGTTAGACACACATACATATGTAAGCACCAGTACATATATTTGTGTGAAAGTACAAGCACGTATTTTGCTTTATGGGCAAACAATGTTGAATTGTGGGTATTTGTGTCATATCATTTGCGTCTCCGAGTGCCGGGAGAGTTGTTATGAAGATGCCCACTCCAAGCGTTGGATTGTTGAACCTTCGATATTGCTTTCGATTCAAATAGGAATTTTAGTGTTAATGCAGTGTCATTATCATATACATATGTATAGTTCATTCTGCGGAACGAGCTGTTGAGTAGAAAAGCTAAGTCGGCAAATAATAAATATAAGAATTTTTAACTTTAGTTTGTATGAAAGTCTAAGGCATAAGCATTTTCAAAGGTATAGAGCTATAGGTGCTGATAAAAAAATGTTTTATATTAGAAAAAATGTATGCAATTTTTACTTAACCCCGATTTCTTTCTTGAACCTGCCTGCTTCAAATCGTATTTGAATTGCAACAATTGTTTCTATTAGCTCCAATAGTCTGACATGCTGTTATGCTGTATGTCATACTGCAGCACTAAAGTTTTACCAACATTGATATCAAAGTGTATTTATAAAGGTTTTTTTATCTAATGCGGTAACCTGTAAATGCTTTGCTGGATCCCAGAGTGCCGTATGAGCCGCCATTAAAAGCCTATTCACTGATTATTACTAGATATTATTGAGCAATTTTCATCAAAACAAAGACCCACACTGTCAATACTTTTCCACTTCGAAAGTGCTTACGGTACCGCCTGCTGAACAAAACTGTTGATTGAAAAAACATTTCGCACACATAAATAAAATATAAGTCACATAACACTTGGTCTCAATACCACCTCTCTTCTCATCTAAGGTAGCACACATTTATGAGCACATAATGGCTCGCTAAATTCGGCGTCCTGGCAAAAGCACTTGCATTCGCCGGCGTTTGGTCTTTAGCAACTTACGTGTTGGGAATGTTGCGCATGGAGCGATGCCGAAAAAATATTATCACCAAAGTGCCATTACCTAAAACGCCAACAATAAAGATGAGCGCAAACAACACTGTGATAATATAGGTTTCGGGTCGTTGTGCGGGTGGCACATAATCCGTAGCGGGATCGATGTCCGCATCATCACTCTCCACAAACGCACTTTTGTTGCGCAGGCCGTCATCGAGGCTGGTGCTGGCCGCAACTTTACCGATAGCAGAAGCCAAATCGATGTAAAACGAGCGTGATGTTGTGGTTGAGGCGTGCGAAGCCAGCGGCAGGCCGGTGCCGAGTAGCGCGGATGCTGGCTGTGACGCAAACATGCTGCAGTGTAGTGGCTGACAACGGTTGACGAACACGCGACTATCGCACGAACCGCCTTATCAGGTTACTTAGCGGTTATCGCCTTGACTGCTCAGCTGCTCGGCTTTGATGGATGATTTGCTGCTGAGTGATGAGCGCCGCAACTTATGTGTGTACTCCGTGGAATGCCAAATATGTTGAGTGGGTTTTTATTATTCGCTGGTCGGTCGAGTAATAGCGTACATTTTGGCGACGTCTTTTCGCCTTAACTTTTCGACTTTTATCTTTGTTGTTATGGGGAATGTATGCTTGTAATTTTTTTTATTGCGATTGATAGACAGCTCACATTGTGTAGAGTTTATTCACTGCAATAAAAAAAGAAGAGAAAGCTTTTACTGCTGTCGGCTACCATTCAAAGTAGTCTATTTTTATAAGTTTCATTAGTTATTTGTTTTTGTTTTTGTTTCGCTTTTGTGCTCATAATTGTTCAGTGAAGCTTACGTTAATGGCCTGGTTCAATGGATAAACGAAAATAAGTGGATTTCAGCAAAAGCATTGATCAGTGTAACCCCATAAATATGCTGGAGTATCTCGTAACACATAGAAATGCTTTATGCTTTTACTTACCAAAATAACCATAAAAATTCCTTTTATTCCATATAACTACACACATCTTCAACAGCGAAGTTTCATTACCATCTCTGTGTTGTGTCACGGCTAGATTTATCTTAGCGTTAAGGACAATTAGTCATGTCTGCGGTCACAAAGCTCAGCGACGTTGGGCGTGCAACTTTGAATACCTCAACGCACTCACAAGAAACGTCGTAAGCATTCCACGATTATTTACCTACACCAAACATTGTTGTTTTTATTGTAACAGACAACTTTAACTTTGCTATACTCCTTGCCATTTCCATCAAATCTGCGTTTATATGTGTATTTATGAGGCTTTAATATTTTCACAAAACTCAGATTAACAATAGAGAAATCTTCTTTCGCAAATCAATCTTAATAATTAAGGAGGGAACTTGGTAGAATATGTCAGAATGTTTCAATATTTCGGCTCATTTCTTGTTTCACTCACAATAGGTTATCCACACACAACTTGCAGGCTAATTATATATACTTGTATGCTGTCTGTATATTTATGTGCATATATGAGTATGTGCACACATACATACATATTATGTACATATGTGTATGTGATAAATATTTTGCAAATCAAAAAGGCAATACTAATTTCAATAAAATTCACAACGCAAGCGCATCCAACAGACAAAAGAAATTTAAATTCAAAATAAAATGAAAAACAAAATGTACTTTATGAAAAGATTTGCCTCACTTTGCCCTTGTAGTCAGCAGTAAATTGGTTTTTCTCTTCAAGTTTTACTTTTTTTCTGTTCGCTTTATAGCATTTCTTTATTGCGAATATTTTCCAAGTCAATCGTTCGTGCTGTCGCAACGTTGTAGTCGTTCCGCCGTAAACACATACACGCCAATTAAATTAAGTTGACATTTATTCACGGTATATATTATATACGTGGAAGGTCGGCGCTTAACTTTAATTGCCAATTCAGCAACAATTGAGCTTCACCTTCTGCGTGTGGTTCTTGCATTCTCTTTCGCTGAATTTTTTTTCAAACTCTGTTTTATTACTTGACTGCCATCACGCTAAATACTGTCGTGTTATGGTAATAACTGTTGTAATTACAGCGACAGTAAGTGACAGTAATGTTGTGTATCCATGAAATATCACTCATACGCCGTGTACGCCCTCGCAACGGCCACGCATGCCGCAGCATCATCGACTGTCATATATTGGTGTAATTAAAACAACACGTGAGCATGTGAAAGACAAGCACGAGCAACCCACACATACACTCTCACCCAACAACAACGAGTACAAAGGTATATGTGTGTGTGTAGCCACGCTACACATGCGTATAATCAACCACAACATAATATAAAATACCTATTGAGGTTATTAATATTTCGTGCGTAAGGCCAATCCACAGCCGCGTTGTTAATTTCGCAATTAAATTTCCAAAGTCTTTTCCAAAATCATGCATTTATTCAACTGTAAATTAAGCCGTAATTGAATTTAATTGAAAAGTAGTTTTATTGACCACAGTTTTGCAACACCAACAGCGCGAATTCAATTTCATAACTGTGATTAATTGGCCCTCACTTCCACTGTAAATTTCAGCGAAATAATTTTATCCCGAATTTTGGAAAATTAGCTCATTTCTGATTTCTATTTTTGCATGTAGGTAGTTTGATGTCGCTCTAAATGCATCAGTTAAGGAAATTTTCAATATAAAAAAAGATAATTTCAAGTATCAATGTAGAAGAGCAGCAGAGGCGGCAATTAATATACTAAATACCTACTTTCTCAAAATTTAAGCAAACATTTGACATAAGCTTCCCAGAACTACGCAAATCGGTCTTAAATATGGTAACAATACCGTTATTTGATCGGCAACTAAGCTTGCAAAACCTAAAGATGGAATATTTAATAGCATTGCATTAATTATTAAAAGACTTTTGCAGCAAGCCGATGAAAGCAGGACAAACATTATCTCACAAAGAATTCAGAAAACGAAACATATGATATACATTGGCAATATTCTATAGCTCGAGGGCATACACCAACTCAACAGATATTATCATATTTCCTAAAGATACACACCCCATAAGCGTACACACACTCGCACATCTATTTGCCGCAAAGTTTGCTTAGCTTTAATATTGCTGCACATATCACTGCTTAGCATATTTGTGTATATCACACATACACATCCACATCAGACATACTGTTGAATTGTTGCCAACAAAACTTTAAGCGCGCACAACTTTCTGGCAACACTTCTCATGCAAACCAAGCACACACACACCTCTCCCTCCACTTGTGACCATACTAACATATCAGTATCAAGAATGTGTGCAAATGAGTTTCGGCAAGTCTAAAAAGTTATGCCAAGGCCGTAAGACAGCCAGGCAGCAACAATAACAACAATCCACAGGAAATAAAAATCACTAAGTACTGAACTAATCGATTGATCTGCTTATTTTTAAGTTGTTGTATCAATTAGAAGTGATTGTTGTTGTAGTTGTGTTGAGTAAATTTCGCAATTCATAAAAGAGAAATGTGCGAAATGTATTGCATTAAAATTGGCTTTTAGCAAGTGAGGTTATGTCATTAGGGCAGACTTGTAGTGTCAAAACTTAGCCTAACTTATTTGTAAAGTTTTAATGCTAAAATTGTATAAGTTGAGGATAATAATTCGTATTAAATACATATATTTTTGTAGCGTAATTTTTCTACAACTAATTGCGTGTTTGTAGAAGTCGAGGTAAGAAGCGATTGTCGCAGTACAAAAACAAAAATACAAATGTTTTGTTTGATTAAAGCTGATAAATTACTTGTAAATGCTTCCGACTATATAAAGCATTGAAATATTTACATATGTATGGCTAAGTTTGCCATAAAACAGAGGTAAGTCGATGCTTACCTAACTTTGTAGTAAAGATTTCACATAAAATTTTTATTGTTTTTGTGGAGAGGTGGTTGATGTCGCCAAATGGAAACCAACACAATACCGCAATATGTGGCAAATAATATGGTTTCCCATATAAGCGACTTGCATGGTGAAACAAAAACCATTCACTGTCAAGTGGTCATTTTAACTTTATTTTTATTTTCACAGTGAATTGATGTGTGATTAGTGTGTGTCATAAGCCTTTTTGAAATGTCTATCAAATTCAAAAACGAAAATTGAACATTAGAACGTTTCAGATTCTGATTCAACACAAAAAGCGCACGGACGTAACGCATTGCCAGAGTCCGACGTAGCAACCAAAACGCAGCCACAGCCAACGCTGACCAACCGGACCATCTGGTCCTACAGCGCCCGCAGGTAGTTTCCGCACACTTGCACACACACACAGGCGCAGAAGATTGTATATAGATAAGATGTAAATGTGGCATAAAGGTGCATACATAACGGGGTTTCGCACTGCATTTAGAACTTTTAGTACTCTCACTATTACTCAGTGATTGCGGCATTAAATGTATCTGCAGATAAGCTCGATACAACTTTCAATTCCTAATACATTTGTATGTCTGTGGTCTGTAGCACCAAAGTGGTGTGCTAACCAAAAAATTTCACTAAAATATATTATATATGTAAGCCACAAAGGCGCCGCTGTCATAAATGAGGGAGTCAAGAATTTGCTTTTAATTTGTGAAATTAGATTGGCGGCGGAGTATGCGTGGTCAACGTGATTTACTCAAAAATTATTGTCAAAAACCTTTTGTAAGCTTAGCGGTGGCATGCAATAATGGTAAGTCCTGCTTGTACAAAGCTGGTCAAGACCATTGTGAGATGAATATTCTTCGAACTCCAAGTCGTTTATGTATGTGCCATGCATCAAAAACTAGTTGAGGGCGGAATAGAAAGATATATGCCTTTCTAATACCCGAGTATTGACCCTCAGCTGGCTTTCGATATAACGATATAATCTAATATATATAATTTAGCATACTTCCGAGAGTAGAACCAAAAGCCGCATTGATAATGAAATGCAGCTTTGATAGAGCATTTTCATTCCTCAAATTCATTATTACACTTTTACTATTTATTTAATTTTAAGAGTTATTCCTAACCTTCAAAAAACACAGAATATACAAATATGAAATTCATTGTTCAATAAACAATTTTCGATGCATTCTTTAATTAGTTCAATATAATCAAAATATTTTCAAATTAGTTTTTAGTTTTTAAATTTTAATTTTTTATTTCGAACATTTGGTCTAGTCAAAAGGTCTATGGCTCGAAAGCAATATAATTTGAGAGCTTTTTTTATAGAAAGGAATTTTTCATTCCTGCTTTATAAGTTCACTTTGATTCTGCTAAATATTTGTTTATTCATAAAAATTTATTTGCCGCATTTTTATTTATTTATTTTTTAGAAATCCAATGGACTGAGTTGAATGCTAACGAGTGCTAAACGAACAGGAAATTGTTGTAGCGTGGGAAATACTGTTTGCCTAAAATCGTTAATTGTGCGAGAGCACGTACGTGTGGCTGTGGAAATGTGTGCGTAAAAATAATAAATTAAATTAAATAAATTGTTTTTTTCGCTCTCTCTCTCTTTTTATTTTGAATACTTTGTCAGTGTTTGATGCGGCGTGGAAAACTTAAAATGCCAAAGTGTTTAGAATATAGTTTATCATTTGTAAATTTATGCCTGCTTAGATGTGCAAAAACATTTACATATAATATATTTGAAGTGTTGAAACTTTTATACAATAAATAGTTTGCTATTCGAAGTGCTTAAGAGCGTCGCCGCCAGCGAGGCAGGT